TTATGTAAATTCATTTCATTCCCATAATCACCCTACAAGATACTGTTTTCATTCCATTTCAAAGATGAGATACTGAGATACCTAGGTCACAGAGGCCAATTAAACCATAAAGTCCAGTTTCCAATTCCGGCAGACCATGCCACACTCAACTCACATTTGCTGGCTGAATGAATGAATGAATAGAAACTATCTCTTTCCCTCACCTTGAGTCACACCTGTTTCCTTCCTACAGGTCCCAGCTGTCTCTGACCCAATACAGATCCTCAATAAATAGCCATGTTCCCAGCCTCATCCTTTTCTATACCACACTCTTGGCAAAGGGCAGTGGACAGCTCTGGTTGTGCTGTGGTTGGCCTCTGAGGCCACCGTTACTGAGTCATCTGGCCTACACAAGGCCCCACCTGTGGCTTGTGAGGTATAACCCTAACTTGCACTATAGCCTTGGTCTCCTCTCCATCGGTGCCTCCCACCTAGGTCCAACCTTTGGACAACCTGTACTTGTCTCTATCATCTTTCCTGCTTCTGATCGGGCAACATCACCTCACACTGCCATCTCTGCCTCTTGTCACTCAGCTGTCATTTGACACTGGTGCTTTCAGGCCTCCTTCTAGTCTTACCAATGCCACACAGGCACACCTAAAAACTGGCTACTATAGGAAAAGAAATCCTCATCCTTTCAGGTGGAGTCACGGTGCACGTCTCCTGAGGTAAGCATGACCTTTGTGAAGAGATATACAACCACCAGAGCATGGGCCAGACTGACAATCATGCCAGGTTCAAGTCTTGGCTGCTAGAAATGACTGTGGGGTGGAGGTGAGGGCAGGGCTGTCACAGTTCTATGAACATTACTTATCTGTACAGTGGGTAAGATCATCAGAATCATCTCACAGGGCTGCTGTGAGGATTTAGAGATTTTATTTGTGAAGTCATTAGGATGTCAGGTTAAATCAGTGCTCTGTTATCATGAGCAATTGTCCAGTTTTTAGCATCACCCCCACTCACACACACTTTGAAGCTACAAAGTCCAAGTTTGAATCACACCCCTTCGTTTGCAAGCTGTGTGACCCTGAACTATCTTCCTTGTACCTCACTAGTACCATCTATAAAACAGGAATACCAATGATATCTGTCTCACAGGTAGTTCATATAAAGTGCTTGAACCTGTACCTAGCACAGGATGAATACCCAGTGATCTTCAATGTCAATGCCATCACTATTTCTAATGCCATGATCACCCAGGTGGCAAGCTGCCTTAGAGGTGTGCTCAGGCAATCACAGGGTTAAGGACCTTTTCAGGGCTCCCCTAGGGTGGTGGTGTAAATGGCGACTGTGCCGGGTCTGACTCACTCTGTGTGAGCAGGAGGTGTGGACTGTGTTTTCCAAATCAGGATATGCTGAAGGCCCAATCGAGGGCTCCAATCGCTGGAGCTCTCTGTTTTTCCAGGTCTGTTCTAAGGAAAAATGCTGCCCACGAAAAGATCATGCTTCATGCCAGATTAAACACTACAGGTTTATTCAATAACATACGTTACTGACCACAGAAGAAAAAAAAATCTATCATCCTGAAATCTAGCTTTCACCGGAGGACCCAGGTGTTTTGACTAAGCCTTTTGTGGGGGGTACCTGTTACTCATAGTTGGTGATTCTAGGATATAAAGATACACAGACAGCTCTGAACACCTCCTTCTCAAAAAACTCCTCAATTTTCTATTAAAATTCAAATGCGACAGTGAGAGTCAGCCGCAAAAAGACCGACTTTTCAAGTCTCGTCAACAGCACTCGCGTGGCGTGCGCGGCGTGGGCGGGCTGAGGCTATTTAGGGTTTGCGGCAGTGCCGAACTGAGGAGCCGTACTTAGAATATCAGCCACAAAGCTTCTGGGCTGTCGTGTCTGACGATTCCATGGAAACACAAGAGCACGAAATGGATTTCTTTAGCTTTCCGTTTCTCATGCTGATGAGGAAAAAGAGCCCACAGGCTCATTGAATGTTAGGAGTCATAGCATTCTGAGGGACCAAACAACTTGAACCAGTTGGGAGGGGAGGGTAATCATAATGATTAAAAGTACCAGGTAATCATCATGGAGAACTGTACATGTCATACAAAAGAGCTGACATGTTTTAATCATTTAATTATCGTAAGAACTCTACACAGGAAGAACTATTATTCACCACACTTCATAAATAAGGAAACTGAGCTTTATGGAACTTAAGGCAATTCGTTCCATGCCACACAGCTCCTACCTTTGCATAGGGATTCAACACCGAGGCGCTAAAATAGAGGGCTCACGAGAGAATGACAGAAGAGACTAATGATGGGGTTAAAACTGCCCATTCTAACAACTCACTTGAAATTTAAGCTAATTAAAAGTAAATGAAATTTAAAATTCCATCCATTACTGTCAAGCTCTTGAAATGTGGCTAATACAAGTGATGTCCTGGAATTTTAATTTAATGTTAATTCAAATTTCAGCAGTCATATGTTGCTATTGGCTACTGTATGATATACAGTGCTGATCTGAGGAATTTTTCTCCGTTTCATCAGAAAGGGGTCTGGTCTGCTTTCCCCAAATCTCAAACACAGAGGGGGATTAGTTGTTTTGAACAGGAATCCATAGAAAATCATAGGGCTAAATGTTGTACCTCAATGCCTTAAGACCAGGAAGCTAAGCTAAGGTGTGTTCTGCCTTTCAACATTTGCCAGCCCCTAGAATTCCAGATGTCCTCACAAATCACAGTGTGAAGACAATAAATCAGAACAGACAATCCTAGAACAATTGTTCTCAGACAACCGCCAGCATCAGCAGGGAGTTTGTTAAAAGGCAGGTCTCTGGCCCCACCACTGAAGTGGGGAGTCCATGTTTTAATCAAGCAGCCCGAGGATTCTAATGCAGGTGGTCTAGCTTTGAGAAACTCTGCTTCAGAGGCCGAATTCATATTTATCTCCTGGCCTCTTAAATAATTATAGCACATAAATCTTTTGAGAATAGCACAAACTGGGCTGGGAGCCAGGCAGTCATCACTCTGCACTAATTGCTTACTTCTGTGACACTAGGCAAGGTGCTTAGTCACTGAGGCCTCATTTTCTCCATCTGAGATGTGGAGGAAAGACTATTTGTCCTCTCAGACAGAAGAGAATACAGATGTGAAATCCTTTGAGGGGAATGAAAGGTAAAAACACACTGTCGAGTGTCCTACAACTCAGACACATTTTGCTTGTCTAGCAGAGAGTTTAAATACATTTCTCACTTTAAAAAAAATCTACATTTTTAACTGCTTTGGAAAGATAGAAAGGTTTCAGAGCATGGGGCGCCAATTAACTCGGCAGGCTGGTGAGTGAGCACTGCTTGAATGAGCATTGCTTCCACCACACTGCACGGGGTGAAATTCCCGCTTCACCTCTTGAATGCTGGGTGGTTTTAGGTAAGTCCCTGAACTCCTCTGTGCCTCAATTTGTTCAAGCTCAACATGAGAATTTTCACAGCACTTCTCTCACAGAGGGTTTGGAGAACTTGGAATGTTTATCAACTGCTTAGAACAATGTGAGGTACATGGAAAGAGCCATTAAAGCAGTACCTGAATAAATAGGCTGTACGTGGTGACCTTCAGCTGGGGTTGAGCGAGGGCTGAGCCCTTTGGACAGGGCTCTGTGCACAAGTATATCCCAGTCTTCATCCAGACACAGGATGCTTGTGGGGGAGGGGAGGCAGAGGGGTAGGGGAGGGTAGACATGTGTCACCCTCCCTGGTGCCCTGTCCAGAAGGGGAGGTACACTTAGCAGTCTGTCTCAGAGAGTGCTACTCAAGCTATCCATGTCAGAGGACGGTTTTTAATTTTCAGTTCACTTAGAACTGATACCTGAGGACCATACATGGCCCTCCCAAGCATGACGGTATATAGCACGTGGAATACCTGTCCTCTTAAGTCACCGTGTGAGGACAATAATTCAAAACAGATAAACCCAGGACTATTGTTCTCAGACAATCACCAGCATCAGCAGGGAGCTGGGTAAAAGGAAGGTCTTTGGCCCCACCACTGAAGTGGGGAGTCCGTGTTTTAATCAAGCAGCCCATACCCAAGGGACCTACAACACCCTGGTTGGTCTGTACCCTGCCAGTAAGATGAGCCCACTGCACATGCTCCATGCAGCGTTGTCAAATTGCTGTTTGCGCCTCTAAACATAACAATTTCAGTATTTATCTTGCTGCAGACTGTGGACTGATCCTCGGGCTATACGCTGAGTAGGATCATCTTAGAGAACACCAACACTCACATGCACACAAACCAACAGGAAAAGTTGATGGGTGAGAGGCACATGACTGTCTTTCTCTCCACCTGTGTCCTCTTCAGTCTGCCTGGCTTCTGTTGTTCCACCCACACTCCCCATGTCTTTATCTACACGTTCAAAGCAGCTCCCTTGTGAGACGCTGGGGTTCAGAACAGCCTCAGCTGGATGTGTTGGTGGCCTGAGAGGCACCTGCTTGTGGGAGAACTACCAGCAGCTCCCAGCTGTCCCTCCTCCTAAGTGATCCTTTGGCCAATAGGAATCGCCTCTCTCCATGCCCATATCTCTGCCTTGACCCATGTTGCTGCCTAGCAGCCAAAGCCAGTGACTGGCCAAAATGGTGGTGTAAAATAACAGCCATTTTTTGGGGAGCGGGAGATCAGTTCCTCAGTAGGACTCATTCTCTAGAGACCCTTTGGGATCAGACTAACACGATACAGGGGAGACACAGTTCTCTGCTTGGCTCTTCCCATGGCCTTCTCCTTTCTTTTGCTTCCATTCCCAGGGGCATGGCCCCAGCACACCACAGGCATTCCAACCCGATTCAGGCTCTACTTAGAGGGGATCCAATAAGGGACATGAGCCACCCCAAACACGGGCTCCCTTTGCTCAGCAGCCTGCTGGAGGAGGGCATACAGCAGGAGTAACATTAAGATCGTAAAGGTCAGAAGTTGATCAACCAGAGGCGGCCCCTTTTTCCAGGGGTATAGAACCTACCTGTTGTGTTTGAGAGGGCCAGCGATTCCATGGAGCCCCGAGGGGTCTGCTCTGTGGGTGTCATATCCTCAGTGTATTTCAGGGAACTGATTGGGTGACGGGTCCGGCACTGCTGACTGGACAGGCCCCCTTCCTCCTCCTCCTCGTATTTGGGGACTTGGATGTTGCCGCGGGTTTCACTAAAGCTCTGACTGGACATGTCACTGTAGCTCTCCTGGGATCTGAGCCTTCCTGGGTAGTAGTCCTCCCGGCATTCCTTGATGAAGCTGCCGCCATGACCCTTCATGGCCAGTGAGGAGCTCCTTTTGGGGTTGCTGAAGTGCTTGGCCCACATGTCAGGCTGGGCCCCAGCCCCTTGACCTCCTGGGCTGTAGGAAGTTCTGATGTTGCACTGGCTGAGGAGCTGCAAAGGACTCTGGGACTGGTTCTGCTCCATCTTGTTGCCATAATGGTAGGGTTCCTCCCGGCTCCTCCAGATGGGGTCCCGGTTGAGGCTGGGTGTCTGGCTGGACAGACTGAGCAGGTCCATTTGCATCGACAGAGGGTCCACGTCAGCTGACAGTCGGTTAGAGCTCAGCTGCAGCTGGCTGTGCTGGTTCAGCATGGGCTCCTCCGTCTTGCCCTTGTTCTTGCCGATTTTGGCGCTGCGCCGGGACTCCTTGGCCCTGGCGTTCTGGAAGGCTGAATCAGATGAATCAGAGCCATTGGGGTCCTCCCCGGCACTGCAGGCCCGTGAACAGAATATCTGGCCCTGCTTCGGGAGGAATGGGCGGCCCAGGAGGGATTTTTTGCAGTGAGCACAGCAGAAACAGGTCTCAGTGGCATGCCAGTGTTGTCCATCATAGGTCATCTGACCTTGGTCAATGCCTAGGGAGAGAAGAGACACAAGGTTGGTGGGGTTGTTGGGAACCCTGCGGTAAGACACGCAACACACCGCATCCCAATTTGGCTTGGGGTTCCAGATGCAATGGACTAACATGTCAATACACCAATAATCCCACCCCTACCTAGATGGTATTCCTGACTTATTAAGAGAGCCTCCTTGTAGCAATCAGCTCTTTCTTAACTCAGATGCTTTTGGTACAGATAAACTAGCTCAAAATAGCCTGTCCATTAATCTTTCTGCCTGGAACACATTTCCCCAGACAAACGACAACACTGCTACTAAAAACCGATAAAGCACTGTTTCAAATGCTTTGCATACGTCAGCCCACTTAACCCCTCAAGTGTATGAGTAGGCTTCTAATTTTATTTCCATTTTTCCCAGAGGAGAGAACAGAGGCACAGAAGGTCAAATCACATGTCTGACAAAATACAACTGAAAAATCATAGATGAGACATCTAGCCAGAGAGTCGTATCCCGCACCCGAACACTGCTACTGTCTCCTTCATTCTGCTGCCTCAGATGCCAGTACAGGGCAGGGGGTGTCTGCTGTCAACCTCACAGCAGGCCTTAGCTGCTGCACGGCCACAAAGATGCGCCTCCTTAATAGTTCGATCCCTTCTAGGGCTGTGGGGTGTTTCTAGGAACATGGCCTGGTGCATCTTAAGGCACATCCACACTGAGTGGATGAAGTCCAGCCTATCGCCAAGTAAGCCATTCCAAGGGGTAGCCACAAACTAGTTTAGTGGAGAAGACAAAAGTGGATTTCACTTCTTGGTCAGGAAATACCTACTGTTGTGGGGACCCAGCACTAGCCAGTCAAGAACCTTATCTTCAAGCCCAGTGGCCAGTAGAGGGTGGGCACAGGCCTGGGGAGAGTGACCAGGGCATGTTGCTGGCACTGCTAATAGTGACAGTAGTTGATAAACTGGCAGAATGGCACCTAGGAGCTGCCAGGCCCCCTCCCACGAGGAGACCTGTTAGAAGGCAGAGCTGGGGTGACTGGGATGGAAGGGGCCTTTGGAAAAGCTTCCTGATCTTGCATGATAACAGTCTTTCCAGAAAGGGGATATTAAAGTGAACCTTCACATTTAATAGCTGAGAGTTCTGAGCCTGGACATTCCAGAAATACCTTCTACAGATTTGCCTAGAGAGGCAGTAAGCAAGAAACTGGGGAGGAATCTTTACTCAAGAAAAGAGAAGGGAAAGAATAAAAGGCAAATGTGGAAAAGCCTCTTGTGGCCCCCCACACCCAGTGCGGGGCTCACCACCACCTCCCTTATGTCCAGGCACCCAGGGAGAGAGGCATAAGGTAAACTCTTATCCTATTAGCTCCTCCCCAAACCAAAGCATCTCTGTTTACTTGGGAGTCTGATTTTAGGGACTGACAAGATATTTAGAGGGACGTGAGTAGCCACAGGGCTGTGAAGCCAGAGGAACTTCATGAAAGGAACTCCCTTTCAGCACTCCAGAAGGAGTGAGAACTGACCAGGGTGGGCTGAGGGCTGCAGACCCACACGGCCTCCTCAGCCTCCTAGGAGAGAGCAGGGCAGGCGGCTCCAGAAGCCAGTCTATAGCCGTGAAGACTGGGGTTTCAGGACTCAGAGGAGTGTATGTTCACTTCCCAGCTCCACCTCATTCTAGCTCACTGGGAAGCTGCTGAGAGCTCAGTGAATTGTGTTCACGTCCCAGTTTTGACAATGCCACAAGTGTCTTCACCTCTCTGTGCCTCAGTCACCTCTGCAGTATAAAGGGCATAAAAATAGTACTCAATGCATAGGGGTGCTGCTGGGGATAACTGAGCCACTGTTTAGACCTGTGCCCGCCAGCCATTCTGCCTGCTCCTTGTATTCTGATTAGGTCTTAATGCCTGAATGCCTGTATCCCTTTTTGCTCTGAGGGCGAGCGGCTGCCTCTGCATTCCCTCCCCATTCTCTGCTCCTCTGCTCCTTCCCCCTTTTCTCCAGCCAACTGCTGTGGGTCCTGGCAGTCAGCACCCACCCCATCCGGAGCGTTGCAGCCTAACCCACTCTCTTAGAAGCACACAGTCAGTCCTGTCCTATACACCCTCTCTTCCCTGCTTCTGCAAGGAAACATGCTCAAATGTTTAGTGGAGTCCACCGGGCCCTAGTTCTAGGGGTGGGGGGCCTCACAGAAGGCTGGGTTGGGGGGGAGAGAGGAGGGGGAGGCTCGTCACAGAGAGGCCCAGCAGGCAGTGGAACGAGGTCTCTGATAAACATCACCAATGTCAGATGGTCCTCTGAACTGCTCCTGAACTCTAAACATCTGGAAAAGGGCTCTGCTACGCCACATCTAAGCGTTCCTTTTTTATGCCTTCTCTAAGCCCCTTGAGCATTTCTGGGAGAGTGTATGTGTCTACTGCTGCTTCAGCGTCGGTCTGTTTATAGGACTGTTTACTCTGCTGCACGCAGGCAAAAGTACCGTTGCCCTAGCAACAGCTGCCTGATGCAGGGTCCGCTGAGTGGCTGGATAAATATGGAATATTTGTATAATATGGTCAGAGAAAAGCACCCAGAGACTGTGGTATGCATGATATACAGAGCACACCCCTTCACTGTGGCAGGAAAATGCCATTTTACAGAAAAGTGGATTTAGGGAAAAAATCAGGCACAGCATTATAATAACTACAGCAGTCATAATACTGCAGGCCATAGGGATCCCTTTTCTGGTAAAACATTGATGCCTTTTTAAAGATTTAAGAGGGACAGAGAAGGAAATGCCAATCAAAGCCTAAGTAGCCAGAAGAAGGAAAGGGAAGAAAAAGAGGGGCCTTTTGAGGAACACAGGCTGGGGTAACAGATTCTTCTCTGCTAGGCCACTAAGCAAAATTCCGAGTGGTTGTTTCTGGAGTGCCCTTTGAGCCTCAAGGCCTCAAAAGAAGAAACAGAAATCCTAACCAGAAGGGGGTACCATCACTGGAGGTACATTCTCTGGACACTGACATCTAAGCCCCTGAGCATTTCTGGGAGAATGTATGTGTCTACTGCTGCTTCAGCCTCGGTCTGAATAGCACATCCAAGTGAATATCAACCCACAGCCCCACAACCCACAGTGAGGGATCAGTAAGTTGCACCCTTTTCTCTGACACTGTCACATCCCCTTGTCCTTCCTCACAGCTATCTGTCAAAACCAAGTCCCCATTTCCTTGCCCTTAGTAGTAAAAAAGGAAGTTTGTTTTGACTAGTGAGAAATGAAAGCTGTATGGTGCTTGGCTTTGTGGGGGTAAGGATTTTAGGTGTTAGTGGGGAGGGGATCGTAAAAGCCCCATGTGTCCATATGAATGCTGTTGGATAGACCTGCAGGGACTCCTCCTGGGAAATGCTTCTTGGAAGAAGGACTGTCTGTGGGCAGGGGCTGTCCAATGACAAAGGGCCACAGAACACACAGTAGGTGCCTTGTTCAGAGCTGTACTTTTAATCAGCACACCAAACTCTCAAAGTACTAGCTACTTGGTTATCTGAATATATTACTTGTGATGTACCAGGGAGAGAGAAAACCCACTTATTTTTGTTTCCGATAAAATCAGAGCGAAATGGGTTCCCAGACTGATTATCTCCACATCTCCCCACAATAGGTAAGAAGTTGGCAGCTTCTGAGCACATTTCTTGGAATTGCATAAGCCACAGGAAGACCAGGCGGCTGGTCTCATAGACATTCATCCACTGCCAACATTTTTTCTTTTTTAAAGGGCAGCTCACTCTCAAGGTGCCAGATCAGGCAAGTTGAATGAAGAAGTCACAGATGCAGTGTGATTTGGAATAACACTGAAGGGTTGAACAAATTGGTTATTTGCAAAGGAAAATGATTTTCACCATCTTGGAGCAGTCAATAATTTGGAGAAGCTTATCATTTGGGGAAGCTATTTGAATTTCTTTTGTTTTATTTTTGGCTGGGTCAGTTGTTACTAATATATGTTCTTTAAGACATACTGAGCAGCAACTATTTTCTTTGACTATCTTTTCCTACCAAAAAGACTGCTTTGGTTCTTCCTTCTGTAGGCCCTGAGTCTCTCCAAGGACACTGTGAAGACATCTTGTTTACATTTCCCCCTCATATTTTCCTTCTGAGTCTTCTCCCTCTTCCCCGGGTCGTAGTGGGGCTCATATTGCATAGCACCACCTTGGTGGGGGGCCGGGGACTAAAACTCAAACAGACCAATAGTACAACTCTATTTTCTTAATTCCAAGGTGGAACATGTGGCTGAACCAGGGCTTCCTCTTATTTGGAAGAGCTGACCGGCAGCCTAGAAAAGACTGATACCATTCCTTTAGAGAGTGTGGGTGCTCAAACTGTTAGAACCATCAGGCACTAGGGTCATCCTGGCTACCATGTACAGAGAGCTTGCTTCCAAGTGATGCCAACAGAGGAGAGGCTGAGATGAGGCACAGAGAAGAAATCAAACTTTGTTTGAGCCCTTGTTCTATCCCTACCTGAAGCCAGCATATACCTGGGTCTTCGTACTGAGTCAAGAAATTCCCTTTTTATTTCAGTGCGAATGAATTGGGTTTCTATTCCATGCAACCAAGGCAATTCTAACTCTATTTGCCACAAAAGAGATCCAGTGACATCAGGGCAGAGCTGAATGCCAAGTATCACCTCACCTATGTGTTGAGCACAAGTGTCGCAATATTCCGCATACAACGACTCGAAGCATTGGCAACAGTAAGGCCTTCCCTCCTTCATGATGTAGCGCTGGCCACCCAGCACGGTCTCACACTCGAAGCAGCAGAAATGTTTCATGTGCCAATGCCGCCCCTCTGCTTCTGTGCATTCATCTGCAAAAATGATCTGGAGATGGAGAAGCAAAGAGGTCAGTGCTTGAGACCCAGTACTAAGAATGTGTTTCAAAAGAAGAGATTTATGGGGATCCCAAACACAATGGGTAGGAGAGCACATCCCACCCCACAAATGATTAGACAAAGATGTCTCTGTATGTTTTATTCTAGGTCTGTATTAGCTCTCACATTTAGATTTGCCTAAGACACAATTAAACGTGGATTTTGGCCTGGTCAGTGACTAATTTAATCATCTTTTAATATGAGAAAGAGTGCTCTACCTTTACGAAGGTAAAATAGACCCCAAAACTGACAGCTTGTGGGCACCTGGTCTAGCCACAGCATGTCAAAGAATGAGGAATGTCATATAAATACGTGGAATTCTGGTTTCTCTCTTGAAAATAAAATATTTGGCATTGCTTGGTACACAATAAGCTGCAGCTGAGGAGAGGGACCAGTGATTTCCTATGAACACTGGATTCCTTAGTTGGTCATATACTTCATCACTCACTCTTGCCTTAAAATGAATCATCTTCATTTAGATAACATCTGAGGCCCAGAAGCACTTGTATTATAATCCCTAATATGAAGTTTTTTTTTTTCTTTCAATTTCAAAGCACAGATTTAAAAGTGTGGAGTGACAACCATCAAGGAAGTGTGGTACTTCCTTGATAGGAAGTGATTAATTTAATGACCTTTTAATATGAGTATATGAGTACAGAGACAGATAAACTAGAATTGTAAGTCCAGAAATAAACAGACATTTACGGCCAATGGATTATTTAACAAGGGTGTAAATACTTTCAATGAAGAAACAATAGTTTCCTCAGTAAATAAAACTGGGATAACTGAATATCCTCATGCAAAATAATAAATTTGAACCCTACCTCATATCACATACAAAAATTTACTCAAATTAACTAAAATTAGTAAAGAATTAACCCAAAGATATCAATGTGAGAGCAAAAAAATTATAAAAACAAGAAAATATAGGTGTAAAATTTCATGAACGTATACAATGACTTAGATATGACAATAACAAAAGAGAAATTATACAACATCAAAGTAACTTTTGTGCTGTACAGGTCAATGTCAAATATATATGTATATGTATATCTACCTATCTATATAGCCTCAGAATGGCAAAAATCACTTGCAAGTTATATATCCAATAAAGACCAGAATATACAAACAACCTTTCCAATTCCACATTAAATCATCCAACTAGAAAAAGGCAAAATATTTAAACAGGTATTTCTCCAAAAGGGAAAATACACAAATAACCATTAAGCATATAAGAGAATTTTCAATATTATTAGCCATTAGGGAAATACGAATTTTATGTAACAAGCAAAATTTTCAAAGCATTTAAATCATCACATTCTATCTGAAATTAAATAGCTTAAAGCCATAATGCGAGGATTAATTTCTAGTTGTGGAAACTGAGGTATGGAGGCCAGTAGCTGCTTACAATCACAGAACTGGACCTGAGTACTTCCTAACTCCCTGTCTGGAGGATCTCTCTGGAACAAGACTACTACTGCTAGAATTTGTACTTTTTTAAAAAGATTTATTTATTTATTTGTACAGAACTGGGGTACAGGTCAGAGATGCAGAGGGTGAGAGGATTC